CCCAGTGTCTATTCCCCCAACTACCCTGAATTCATTTAGAATTTTTCTATACGGCTTCAAATTTCTAAAACAAACAAAGAGCAAACAAAGAATGATTATACTACTTGTATCAGTTAAAAATTGCCTTTGAATTTAAAGGGAGAGGAAAGCATTGACTTAAACAAATAGAGATGCCTGGATGGTGCATTGTTTGAAGACTTATTCATCTAAAAATGACTTTTCCTCTTTCACACTTTGTTGGGATTTCATATCCATCCAAATTCTCAACAAAGTGGGCCTGAATAAGATGTAAGTGCATATTGCAAAGTCAAAGGATAACTACTCAAAAATTTTAAAAAGAAGTATGATTGATATGTTAAGAGGAGACAAAATGGGATCACATAAAATGCTCAACTAAAACCAGACAAGGAAAAAGAGAGAGGAAGACAAAAGAAAAAAGAAAGACAACGAACAGAAAACAATAAGAAATAAAATAGAGCCGAAACCGGTTTGGCTCAGTGGATAGAGCGTCAGCCTGCGGACTGAAGGGTCCCGGGTTCGATTCCGGTCAAGGGCATGTGCATTGGTTGTGGGCACATCCCTAGTGGGAGATGTGCAGGAGGCAGCTGGTCGATGTTTCTCTCTCATCGATGTTTCTAACTCTCTATCCCTCTCCCTTCCTCTCTGTAAAAAATCAATAAAATATATTAAAAAAAAGAAATAAAATAGATATTACCCAAATATATAAACAATCACTTTAAATGTCAAAGGTCTAAATGTATAAGTTAAAGGACATGGATTGTTATAAGGAATAAGAAAACCACACCCAAGTGCATTTTGTGTACAATAAACTAATTTGGAAGACATAATTATTTGGAAACTAAAGGGATGGAGAAAGATATGCCATGCTACCACTAATTGAAAGACAACGCAGCCTTCAGAACAAGGAAAGTCATCAGTGGTTTCCAGAGGTTCAAGAGGAGAGGAGGGATGACTGGGTGGAGCCCAGGAAATTTGAGGGGGCTGTACACTATTCTGTTTGATACTGAACACATGACATCATGTATCTGTCAGAGCTCACAGAACTACACAACACAAAGGATGAGCCCTCATGTAAACTATGGACTTTAATTGATACTAATGTGCCAATGTTGGTTCATCAGTGGTAACAAATGCACCACACTAATGCAAGGTGCTAATGGTAAGCGACACTTTATGGGGTGTACATGTGAGCCCAGTGCCTGTACACGTGAGAACACGTTCTATTTCAGAGAACAGGTAGGAAAAATGGTTTTCTAGAACCTGCTAGATTCCCCTCCCCCAGCCCAACTGATCTGCCCTGGTTGCTAGGTACCTGTTTACTTAGGAATAGAACACTCCGTCGCGGTCAGGTATGGCACACAGGACACTGGCACTCAGAGACAGAGCTGAGCGCCCAACCAGTCATGGAGGGCCACCTGTCGGCCGTGCATTCACCTTTCAGCTAGTCCTGCAGCACCTGTGCAGTGTTCTGCTGGTGATTCCTGAAAGCTTGAGACAGTCCCACGTGCCTACGCATTTCCCTGGAGGACCCTGGTATGCGCTGTGGTGGTTGTTTTGATACTGAAGAGATGACACATTTTAAGAATTGTGAAGGTGCTAGGCAAAAAGTGTTCTGACTTCGATGAAGTCTGTGAAAGGAACGGTGTAGTGAGAATAATGGACCAATGACACAAGCCAATGACTCTGTCAGGCCGTGTGGGGTGAAGATTTGCAACCTGTATGAGAAGATGGAGGGATACATGAGCAAGAAATTATAGAAAGGAGACAACCTTCCATGCCAAAAAAAAAAAAAAAACCTCAAGAAAACTGGAACACAGCCATGTCGACTGAAAATTCATTGAGTTAAGGAAAGAAAATGATTGCAACAGGCAAATGCTGGCCAAGGTTGAGTCCAAGTCCCAGCCTTTCCCAGATGGTCCTTTTTCTCCACAGAGGACCGAACATGTCAGGGGATCCCCGGGATCATGAGCCCCCTCTCCCCCAGGCAGGAGGAGGCTTATGCAGTAAAAGCTCAAGAATCCAGGGTCACCTGCACGTTTGACGCAGTTTCCACAGCAGCTGGGTCTTGAACACCCACAACCGCAAGAGGACATCTGCATTGTTTTCTCTTTCAAGTAAGTTTGATTGACCTCTTCTTAGTTTAGCTACTGTTATTTAATTGATGCTACAAATCCTCTTACTCAACTAGATGTAGCATCATAATTTTAAGTTAGTATTTTAAAATAAAGATTCGTTTTTAAAATCCTATTGTGAAATGTCATGTATAATAAAGTAATAATTTGTAAGAGAAACTTGGACATGAAAGTTTGTGTATTGCCTATGGTTGCCTCCCACCTGCTCTAAATCTGGGGCCCTTACCAGTTAGACTCCAGGGGGTAGAGCAGCAGGTGGGAAAGCACATGTCCTGGAATCTAAGAGCTTTGAGAAACGGGGTTATTTATTTATTTTGGAAACCTTTTGAACTCTTGCATCATCACTTTTTTTCTATTCTACTGAATCACTCCCATTAGCAAACATTCTGCAATACCTCCCATTTTTTAAAAAGTCCTCCCTTGACCCCACATTAACGCCAGTTTCCGCCTGATTTCTCTGCTTCCATTCACAGAAAAATTCAAGAGTTGACTGTACTCACTATCTCTACTTCCCCTCCTTCCTTTTTCATTCCAACCAGGGTTAGGGTTAGGGTTAGGGTTAGAGTTAGGGTTAGAGTTAGGGTTAGGGTCAGGGTTAGGGTTAGGGTCAGGGTCAGGGTCAGGGTCAGGGTTAGAGTTAGGGTTAGAGTTAGGATTAGGGTCAGAGTTAGGGTTAGGGTCAGGGTTAGGATTAGGGTCAGGGTCAGGGTCAGGGTTAGGGTCAGGGTTAGGGTCAGGGTCAGGGTTAGGGTTAGGGTTAGCGTGGAGTATGGAAAGTTGGGTGCTTGCAATGGGCTGAGCTGACAGGGTATCTGCTAGGAGAGAATGGAATGAGACCCTGAAAACGAGCGGCACGAAGGTTAGGTGGACTCTTCTAGGAGAAACTGAACAGGCAGCCCTGGAAGGAGAGAGTGATGCCGCCGCCAGAGGGCGCCCTGCGG